AGATCTCAAAGGCCTGATCAGAGCATGGCGAAGCCAATGGAAAAATTCCCCTTGTTTTCAGTAGCCTATGGATCAGCCCTAAACTTTGATTCAGCAGAGACATAAACCCATTTTTAATTTATCACTCAACCTAATGGAGCTAAGAAGTGCTTCAGGGCAAGCGACTGTTCAGTGCTGTGTTAAGCGTGAGCCCGAGAGGTGAACAGCACCTGCAAGAATGCTTTCTTACCCTCCTGAAAATGCTGCTACATTATCCTTTGGCTTCCAGATTTGTTTGCCTCCTACTGCAGAACTGTTAGAAATAATGGGACTTATTCATAACGCATTAGAAAAAAGAAGCAGAATTGTAATCCATTTCATCTTTCTTAAAGCTAGAAGCATCAAAAACCTTCTACTAAGTTGTCCAAGAGAGCGTAATGACATCTTTATATTCGACTAAAACTTATGGCTCCTTAAAAATAGATTGAGACCAGGTGTAGTAATTGAATCTATAGTTTTAGTGATAAGCTACAATGTCTGAAGTCAGTTTTGCAAATTTATAATTTATAGACTTTATCAAAAGAGTAAACTAGCAATCTAGATCTCTTCAAATCCCAAGCACAGAATCTGATTAGTTTTAAGCGTTAGTTCATTCTCCCCATGGAGATATCACTAGAAGGACTTCATATCACAAACACCACACAAAGAATAACATCAAGCAAATAACGGCATGTGCTCAGTACGAGAAAAGACAACTATTTATTTAGCACAGCGAGTTCAGTCATTTAAGCCTTCTGCTTCGACAAATTTGGTTTCAATCTCACTTCAATTCTGAGAGATGAATTTGCTTTTCTCAGCCTAGTTCTCGCTGGACTTTTTTTTTTTTTTTTTTTCTCAAAATGAAACCACCGCACAGCCTGGCACATTAAGGCAGAACAGGAGGTGTTTGCTAAAAGGATGTCATTTGCAAGTCAGGACTGAAGTGCATTGCCCCAGCTGCGTGCTTAGGAACTTGTATGGCATCTATGCTTGATCTACCTGACTCAAATCAACACTAGACCCACACTTCGAAAAGCGCCACAACACAGTCCAGTATAGTTCAGTATAGTCTAAAAGTGCCTTATTTTAAAGCAAGTAGCCCACACGACTATCCAGGGAGGGGAACAGCAATTTTGAGCTTCTAGCACAACAGGCACATCATACATTCAGCAGTTCACTAGCCATACATTCTTTGCACTGAGAAGAAACCAGGACCGAAAAGGAATTCAGGTGCTGCATGGCATGATGCGAATGGCACAAGAAAGACATCACGGACACTTTGTGTGAATGCAGGGGAACAAATGAAGGGTCATCTCCAGGTTGATTTCGTTTTTTTCCCCCCAGACTGCAGTAATATAAACATACATGTATGTATACATACATATGCAGAATATTCTTCAAGGCAGGGTGGTGTATATACACATACACACACAAACACAGTTTTTTTCCAAACCAAACTGCCAAAGAGGTGGGTTCCAGGTAGTGAATCTGGACAGCAGCCAGCCACGTTAAGTGATCGCAGTAAGTGGAAAATCCCTTCTGAACAGGACAGACCACGTTCACTGCCCAGGGAGGGTTCGCATGCGGTTACATACCCAGATGAGCTGCAGTCCCATCACCATCTCTGTGGTGTGTTTCTGGATGAAATTACTGGCCTTGCACCTGAGTGCTCTAGGGGCAGGGGGGGCTTGGAGGTGGACAGAAATGGTTAAGGCCCATGTTGGCCGAGACTGTTTTTCCCCTCTTTTGTTGCCAAAGGTTGTCAAGGAAATAAAAACACTTTAGAAAGTAAAATAGGAGACTCAAATGAAGCAAGTGTTTCTTTTTCCTCCTGCTGTATCTACCTATGCTCGTCAGGGCAGACTAGATAGGTGCTGTATCTGTAATGTTGTCACACACTGCTAAAAAAAAATAATTATTTGCCAGGGCTGAGAGAGGGAACAGACAGGACAGAAGCAGCTTTTGGAGACAGGCCTCCCACTTGCAAACAGAAGTCACTGTCTGAAAATCACCACCCTGCTTTGGCAAAACATGAATCAGAGCAGGGGTGGCCGATTTCCTTTCCTCATGAGCAACGTAAACAAAATTTCCCTCCAGCCAAGAGCTTTGTGCTTCAGAGATCTGAGGGAAGGGGAGCCCAGGAATAGCCATCCCCACACATCCAAGCCCTGGTAGTTTGGATACGTCGCTCTGTACCCAGTGGGCACAGGCATCCCAGTCATGGAGATCAGGTTCCTGGCAAGAGTGCGCTGCAGTTTGCCTCTGGCTCGTGCACCCAAATTTCCCTTGTGGGGAACCAGAATGCACAGTTCAGGGTGCAAGCAGGAGCAGGGGGAGCTGGTATGCAATGGGGTCTCTCCCCAGTATGGTAAGAGGAGGTGCCCAGGTCACTGTCAGGGTCTGGGGGCTCTGCAGCGCTCCCAGACTCTCAGAGTAGACGCAGCAGCCTCACCGTGTCCTCTTGCAAAGCCCTGCTGCAGTCGCTGCAGGGGAGCCGTGCTGGGACTGCTTCTGAGCTATATTCTCTCTCACATCTCTGCTTTCCAAATACCTTTCCTATTCCTTTGCAATTGTTTGCCTTCCCCTTTCTCCCCAAAAAATTAACCTCTGAATGGTTAATTCAAAACAGTATGAGGGGAAATCACTTCTCTAGACAAAAGTGGCATTATAGAAACACACCGCCATGGACCCTTCTGCTTCAAACCGAAGAAATTCTCCAGGCTGTGAATTACATACTTCTGCTAGGAGACATCCACAATACAGGCAAAGAGTGCTTTAAGCTACCAGGATTGTAGCTGTAGCACCTGGGGCTGTAGCACTCATTCCAAAAACCACCATGAACCCACCATGCCCACCCCCTATCTCTGTACTGTTAAAGGTAGAGGTAGACATTAAACTTCAGCTGCATGCAGCCTGCTGTTCATCAGAAGACAGCATCTGATACTCCCAGAGGCTGCGCTCCTTTGAGAATATTTTATGAGCCTTAGGGAAAAGAGGATGACAAATCTCACCACAGGAATGGCCGGGCTGCTTGTTTGGGGAAGACATATGCATTCAGCAGACCAAATTTGGAGGTAAATAAGACAGGCATGAGCCAAGAGAAGAATTGCCAGATCAGGTTATACACACCCACCATCCTACCCAGTAATCTTGCCAGAGGCAGATACTGCAAAGGCAGCAGCTGAGGAATGTACACCTTTCTCTGGCCCTGTACCCACTGAATTTATACATCCAGGCTCCGTTAAAGATGTATGACTTAGGCTCCTTAACTGAACTCACTCCACTTTGTCACAACCTCTTGCTAATCATCACTCCAAAACCCTGCCCATTAGCTGCAACTGCTGCTGAGCTCCAGAGACTCTGTGGTTCTGACCTCATCTAATCTCTAACTTAATTTAAAAACAAAATGCAAGGTCTTTTTTGTAAGACTCTTTTTTACAGTAGTGCTGCAGCCAAGAGTAGTCTAATGGAAACTTTCAGAATAAGGAGATCTGCCCACTTCTTGGTTTTAGGGGAAGGACATCAGCCAATGCACTAAACACCCTCTCTCATCACCTGCCTTCCTTCTCCCCTTCACAAGGTCTGGCTTTAAAGCAGAGGTTCTCACCGATGAAACCAGGCTGTTCCCGAGGGCTGGGCATTTGTTTCCATTTCCAAAGCTTGGAGGAGTCACAAATCCCTGCTGCTGTCATAGGAGGGAGGTAAGAAATCCTCCAGGACAGACAGACTTCCAGTGCCCTTGAACAGGGTTTCCCTGGTATAAAGCAGGTCAGTCTTATTCTCATGAGATCCCAGGTCCTCTCTGCCCCTAAAACCAGCTCATGTCTCCACTTTTTCTACCTTCTCATGTACCAAGAGACCATAGCCTTCAGTGCTTCAGTGGGAAAAAAAAGCAGGTGAAAGGCCTGAGCCAAAGCCCAAAGAAATGAACAGAAAGAGTCCAGCTGACCTCGAGGGAGTTTGGGCTGAGGCCACAGCATCCTGCAAAGCCCAGCCTAACTTTAGGAAATACTAGATCCAAAACAAAGTCTCTCTATCCCCAAACGCTGCTCATATGACCTTGGCAAGCCATGGGATCCTGAAGGCTGCCTGTCAACATGCAAGAAACCAAGCAGATGGCAGTTGCTGTCTGCCTGAAGCCGGCATGGGACTTCACAAGGTATCTCCATGTGCTGCCAGCTCCACTGTCAGTCACAGTACAGCCCCTCTGCTCACTCCCCCGCTGGCAGCTCAGCCAGAGAAGTGATGTCCCAAGGTGCATACTCAGCTCTACCATGCTGCAGTCTCAGCCTCCAGCTACAGCCAGCTTGTTTTCTCTGGGGCACTTTTGAATGGGGTTTTTAAAAGGAGGTTGATGAGCAGCAGGTACGCAAGACACCTATTAGAGATCACACTTTGCTGTTTGGGTCAAGGAGCTGCCTTTTGCCTGTATTTGCCCTGTGGTTCCCCTGCCCCAGAGGTGCTGGATAAACACCAGCCCAACACACAGTGACAGGCAAACTGGATCTTAGCGCTAGGCTCCATCTCCCCTTACATCTTCTTTACCACAATCCAACTTAAAAGCAAACCAAACAGAAACGAAAACACAAAGTGGGGACTCTGGATGGGACGTAGAACACTTTGGACTTGAAAACAGGGGACTGCAAGAGAGGTGGGGGTGTCTCCCAGGGAGGACAGCAGGGGAGGGGAGGGGACACCGTCATTTACACCGATCAGGAGAAGCTGTAATCTATACACAGTGGTATAAGCCAAGATATATTACATGAAAGAACACACTGAGTGCATGGAGTTACCCACACTGGGTCAAACTGGCACAGTTGTCTGGAACAAGACTCTTGGAGTTGCAGTTGGTGTTTGTTGTTGACCTATCTAGCTCGCTCTATATATATATATAGATATGTATAGAATTTTTCTGCATGCATTTGTCTCAAAAGGAGCTGTACAGCTGGGTTGGGTTTCTCATCCCCACCCCGTCTCGGTCTTCATTTTTTCCGGGCTAGGAACGCCACTCCCACAATCACAGCGAGCACAGCCACTGCCGCTCCTCCGACGATGATCAAGGGCTTCATGTTGTCGAAGATGCTGCCTGGCGACTCCTCGGAGCTGTTTCCCTTGTGGTCAGAGTCAGGGGACTGGCCGGTGGCCTCTTGTGTCTCCGTGGGGGCCTCCGTGGCGGCGGGGCTGGGTTTCAGGTTGCTGTGGTTGTTCACGACGGCAGCATCGCCACCTGCCTTCTTGGTGGCAGAGGTGGCAGTGGCAGGAGCAGGCTGCTCTTTGGGGATCTCCTTCTTGTCTGCATTCGTGGCAGGCCCAGGGTTGGGCTTTTCTGGCTTTCCGGAGCTGGGGGCCTTGGCGTCGGGTTTGTTTCCGCTTCGGACATTGCCTTTGGAATCCATCTCTACGGGTGCTGTGGGTAGCGACTGGATGCCACGCACGTGGGGCAATCCCAGCTCTTCTCCTTTGCCTGGCTGCTGGAGAAAGCAAAGGAGCCACCTGAGCTCAACCCCTTGGAGTGGTTGTCTTGGGATGATTCTCACGCTGGCGGTGTCCTATCTGGACATGATACAGCACCTGGAAGAGGAAGCAGAACAATGAGAGGCGAGTGAAAGGACAGAGCAAGGCAGTGCCATTCTACCTGGAGGCAATGAAGGAGGACAGAAGACAAAACTGGAAAACTGTTGGCTCTTTCTTTAGTAACTGTGAGCTGTATTCAAAGCATCTACTACAGTGCCTGTACCTGCAAGAATAAGTTGGACTATCATCTATGGCTGCAACAACTAGGCTCCGTGTGTAATCAAGACAAGTCCATCCTGGCCATGTATGTGATGCCATTTGTCAGTGACGAGATATACTCATGTCCAACCAAATAAATCTTACTTTTCATTTGCTCACCACAGCTCCCTTTCTCCTGGGTGAGGAGAGAACACTGTGTTCGATGGGAAAGCAGATCAATAGTTCCTCCCTGCTTGTATCTCACTCTCTACCCTTCTATCTGCAGCGTTATCCCAAGTTAACTTTAAGAAGTGGTTAATATGTGATTTTGTGTGACACTCTCCATTCAGATAAGTACTGCAGAAAAAAAAAAAACAACAGGATTAGTTCCTTAGTTGTAGGTATCAGAGCTATAAGGATTATTGCTGTCAGCATTTCTGGTGGAGCTACAGCAAAATACGGCAAGCACCAGATCCTCAGCGTATTGACTCCAGTGCAACTGCATGAATTTACTGGATCTCACAGTGATTGAGAGACCTCGCTCCTGTCTCCTCCTCTGGGCTTGCCTGCAGAGCTGAGCAGGATGTCAGATATACTGCAGGTGATTAGCTGGACCCATTTTCCCCAGGGAACTGATGAAAGCAGTGAAGAGCATGGCTGCATCCAGAGAATTCAGCAAACAGACAAAGTGGGCTTCAAAGGGTTATAAAAACACAACAAAACCATCACCCCAGCAAGTCTCACTAGGCAGCAATTTAGGCAGGGTGAGCTGGGAGATGGAGCTCCCGTGGCTACACCTCTGCACAATGGGAGGAGAGGAGACGGCCGCTGGGCAGCTTGCCATCAGGCCTCCGACGGTGCAGCACCATATCGACTTTGAGCTTGGGAAATAATGAGTAAACAGGAGGCGGCAGTCAGATCTGAGTTGCCTGCTTCATTACCTCCCCGCTGACCTTCAGCGCTGCCAGGAGCCTGCCCGAGAGCTTTCTGCCTGCTAAGTGAAATATGAGCTTATTAGCTGTCTGGATTTAGAAATAAAGAGGCTCCTCAAAAACCTCTACAGATAGATGTTTCTTCCAAAGCTGCTCAGAGTGCAGATCACTCCTTTAATGACAGACAGGAAGAAAGTCCCAGGGTTGCAGCAATGGTCTGTGCTGCTGACTCTTCTCGGAAACAGGCTAACAAATGTGGTGTTTTAATCTCCATCTAGGCAGAAACACTGGTCTGGAGGAAACCTACTCACAGAAATGCTGGGTTTGGGTCCAGAGCAAAGCTGGGCAACAGCTTACGGCTTGGTGTAAGACAGAAGCTACCCCCTCTCCTGCTCTCCCGTGTAAGCCATTGTTTGGTGGCCACCATCTTCCCCAATGCCAGTCAACTGGAGTTGACTGAGGGAACTGCAGGACCAAAATCATGGAGGTCCATAGCTCAATGCTGCATCAGGCACGGTGACCATGATACTAGTACGCCGTATGCTGAAAAGGCTGTCCAAAAGGTTGGCAGTTAGCCCGGGAGAATAGTTTGAGATCTTCCTGTAGCATGGAGATGAGGCAGGCACTTCCAGAAGGCTTTTCACAGACCTACCTTACACACCTCCCTTAGAGAGGATGAATTTTAGCTGGGTAGTGCTTGGTGAGATGGAGCCTGAAGTCTCCAAAAGGCATTAGATGATCCAAGCTGGCCACTTTTGAAAAAAAAACATTGGAAAGTGAGAGGCAGATAATCTGCCCCCAGGGTTTCATATCCAGCGTTAAGCAGGATAGTTGTTACTCTCCCCTTAATTTTTTCAATTCGGTCTAGCTCCAACCTCCTCCGAGGGAATAAGTGTCAAGCCAGCCCTTCGCTTATTTAAAAACCAGCCATCAAATTTCCCTAGCAGTTTAGGGTCAGATCTACTTTGGGTGTAAAACAGCATAGTCCTTTGACTGCAGCTGACCAATACTTAAATTTCTGAATTTGTGATTTTAAACCATTTTGGAAACCCAGACCACCACCACTCTCCCCTCATGCTTCACTGAAGATCTATCATACATTTGGGCATCTTGTACCACACAAACAGAATTCCAGATGCTCAGCAAGCTTAAGACCTTCTCTGTGGCTTGGGACTTGGTAGATAAACATATGGTCCTGGCCAAGTGCAAGAATATTTTCCCCTCCTTGCTCATGTTGTAATATTCTGTAGATACCACCTGCCTCACCTTTTCCTTCCTACTGCCTTCAAAGAGCATTCATACTGCTCTGCTCAGTAGAAATCCTATGTACATCCAGGTCTATATTCCTATGTGCTGAGGCTGCACACAGTCACTCACAGGACTCTGCTCTTCTGGTTTGGGAGCAATTTATCCTCATTTTACATCTGGTACAACGATGACACAAAGAAATAGTAAGGGGGGCCCAAGACTGAAGCAGGCTTAGAGGTTAAAGCAGGGAGAGTCAGATTCATCATGTCATAAATATTAAATTACCTGCTTAGTCGCTTTGATATCAATTAGCTGGGCCACTCACACACTCTCTAGTATTTGTGCAGTTATACTATATGAACCAAGCATTAAACTTCTGCTGCTTTCCCTAGGAAAGCTATGTGCAACCTACAGAGATGGTAGGGGTAATTCACGGAGGGAGGCAAACTGGCCTCTTTGCTGAGAAATGGGGACTCTGCACAGCCCAGGTACCTCAGTTTATCCACATCCTCTCTCATTCACACCCCTGACTGATCAGGTCTGGATTCCAGATTCCTGGAAGCAGAAAAGCTGTTTTTGCTCAGAGCCTATGCTGTGCCGTGGAGCCTTGTCCCACAGCCATGCCCTGCAATGCTACAAACAGCTCATTAAAGAATTTCTTGATTTCTAAGTGAGTTTCCACTAAAAGCAATACAAGCCCCTCATGCAGAGGAGAAAAGGTTTTAAAAGATGTAGAAACCAAACTAAGCTAAAAATCAATATTGCAGTTCTTAAGTGTCCATGTGAAAGGGCTTTCTGTCACTGGAACTAGCCACAGAATTACCCAGCATCTCTCCAGACCCTTTGGCGTGGTTGAGCTGGTGCCGTCAAACACTGCATCTGAGAAGCTCAAGCACCCTTTCTGCCCCCATCGGCTGCAGCACAGCTGCCAGAGCCACTGCTGGGTTAGCATCGTGCTGGCTTGCAGCCATCCATCTCCTCCTCCTCCTCCTCCAGAGCCAGGGTGCTCACTCAGCAGCACGTCCTCTTCCATCATAGTACTTAACCCTCATCTCTATGTTATTAACTACCTCCTAAGCAGCCTCCCTACCTTGGGTATCATTCCCTCTTCCCCTGCCCAGTCCTGTGTTTTGAGGGCATAAGCATGCACATCACACATCTGACTGAAATTTCCTCATTTTCAAAAACTAAGTCTGCGCATACTGGTGCAAGGGTTTTTTCCTCAGGCTTTGTCTCCTCCTTTTCCCTCATTCCATCACACACAGTTTTTCTCTAACGGCCTGTTTCTCCACCTTTGCTTTCTTCTTTATCGCTCTCACATCTATTTTTTCCTCCCTTCCCTCTCCTCCTCAGTTGCTGTCTCTGCCTGTCTACCCATTCCCCCCCTTCCAGCTCCCTCTCTGCCTCCCACACAGACACAGCAATTGGGAATAAGGTTTTGTGAGAAAGAGGCTTCATTCCCTCCCTTTCCCCCCACCATGCTATTTCTTTGTTTAATAATCTGTGCCTTTTCAGGAAGGTTTTCACTTGCCAGCAGCTAACCAGCTGTTTCCCAGGCTGGGAAGAAGGAGCAGAGATCATGAAACCAGTGACCAAGGAGAAAAAGGAAAAGAAAAGCTCTCCAAATCCCTGCTGCTGCAAGAGGCGGCACACAAACACCACAGCCCCTCCTGGGACGGTTCTGGTTGTTGCAGCTCTCAAGGTCAGTGCAGTCGGACTCACCAGTGCAACAAGCTGGCCCCAGCCAAAGCAACAGGGCTGGCAAAAGGAACAGCTTTCCTTGGCTCCCTGAAGGGCACCCTTTCCGCCTCACCCCCCCAGCAAATTAGCAAATACATCTATTCATCTATTCGTCCCCTGTGCGTGCAGATGAAAGCTGCGTGAATCCTGCACCGAATGGAGCAGATGAGTCATTGCTAGCTTTTCGGTGACGTATCACCATTAGAAGGTCCTCTTCCCCCTGCAGAGACCAGCCCCAGCCCCAAACCCTGTAATCTTCCCCTCACTGTTTCAAATTGGAAGGAAAAACCAGCAACTCTGCGAGACTGAGCTGCTGCTACAGGGTGTGGGGTCTGGGGCGCGGTGGGAAGCTGCGCCCCACAGATGTGCGTAGGGTCACAGCAGTGCTGAGCTCCTACATAGGGTTTTTTCCCCCCTTCGTGAAAAGCAAACCCTTTCCATGGGGTCCTCAACCGCCACACTGACAGACTGTCAGCAGGAGAGAATTCAACCGCCACAGTAGGGTCATGTATCCGAATTTATACTTGCAGCGAAGGTCTACCCGCACACTCCAAGTGTCCTCCAGTTGAAAACATCAGTCTCAGAAATAGCTACTGACCACGTCTGACCTGTAGCAAAGCTGTGCAAAAAGAGCCAAAGATGACAGAAAAGACCTTAAATACCCTCAGAACTTGTTCCTTAACCCCTATGTAATCTCCCCTTCACTTCTTTTTCATTCCCACCTGTCTGAAAAAGAAAAGGCATGAAGTTTTGCCTTTTCAGGG